GGAATTAGTAGCTGAGAAAGGGCTTAGAATGAGAATGTTGAAGTATTACTTTCACCTTAGGACCTCCAAAACAAGTCTCCTACAACATGCAGACACACAGTTGTTCAAAAGCTATCCTGACTTGTGTACATCCAACATTTATTTAGATCTGTCAGGATAGAGCAAGTTATTGGAGCTGCTTTCAATCTGTGCTTATATGTGCAGTGCAAATGAAGTACCACTGCTCTTTCCCCAGAGAGGCTGACACCCAGGCCAGGAAGCTGTCTCAGGGCACAGCAAGGCTGAAGCCAGAAGTGATGACTTTGGCCCAAAGATACCGCCTCTGGTGGAAGCAGGGAAGTGCTCTGTTCCCAGACTGTTTTCCTAATACAGGGAAAGGCTTCAACACCGTTTTCAGTGCTGAGGAAAAAAAAAGTCCTTGCGTGGGACAAGCGTAGGTGGAGAGGAGGCCATCCTTTGTCTGCAGAGGGCTGGAGATAGGGGAGGTGGCACAAGGGACGAGGACACTCCTGTTCCAGTTAAGTGCAGGCTTAGTGCTCACAAAGCTGCTTAGCACTTGTGTTCTGCCAGAGGGCAGTTTTTAAAACAGGCAAAGCCTCTTACACCGAAAAGGCTGGGATTTGATGGAGGTGCTGACCATTCTCAATGCTCTGAGGGGAAATGGATGCCAGAAGATGCTGGCACAGGATTGGAAAAAGGTGATGACCTCCGAGTGCTGGGGGAGAGAAGGCTTTTCCCTGTCCTGTCCAAGCAGGGCGGTGTGTGTTCAGAACTGGGACTGTCTTCATAGACATCAGTTTTGGATTAAAAGCAGGGTAATAGTCAAGGTGCATTTGGGCTGCTTTCGCTGCTGGTTGTGACCTCCAAAGAATAGCCAGAAATACCTGGTAATTCTGGGCAGCCTTCATTTGAATTTGCTTTTATCTGCAGATTATTTGTGCACTCCAGAGGAAAATGTTTACAAGATAGACTTCACCAGGTTCAAAATCCGGGACATGGAATCTGGCACAGTCTTGTTTGAAATCACCAAGCCAGCAGCTTCAGGTGAGCGCACAGACAAAATACTGTTTTCATGAACAAACAAGTGCTGGTGTCTTCTTTCTTTTGCCTTTTCCCACTCCTTTTACTCAGTACATTTCACAAAAATAGGAGATG